TTAACATAATGAATTAAATCAAATATATATTTTGTGTTTGCTAATAAATGTCCAATTCAATTTTATTAATATGTTCTGTAATTATTTTCTTTCCCGCCCAAACGAACCATGAACCACAGATACACAATACGACATTGAAATTACACAGATTAACAACACATTAATAAGCATTTATTATCTGTGTTAACAATTCCAAGAATATTTTAATGTGTAAATTGCGAGTTAAGATTTACGTATTAAATATAAGTGAAGCATAGCGATAGTTAAACTCTTGTTTTGTTGTTTCTTGACAGATAGACAGATTAAAATTAAAATAAATAGCAACAAATCTAAAATACCTCTACAATTTTTACTGATTATTCATTATCATGAGCATTTCTATTATTACTTATTTCGTATTGCGTCTTTAAACCTTTGTATTTTAAACCAGTTAAACATTCCGAATTTTCTTTCATGCAAAATGCATTCGAGAGATAGCTCGTCGAGCATTCATTTCTCTTATTATAACCCTTGACTTTTTAAAGCATCTTAAATAAAATTCCATTACAACTCCATTACGAGACAATGGAGTGAACATTTGAACCACTCAAAGGAGTCATCCACGAAAATCTAAAAAACCCGGGCGAGAGCGAGCATGACTTTCATACAAAGGGTTCCGTATAGTGAAAAGCAAAAACACGTTTATTTTTTTATAACAGCCATACATAGTTTTATTCTCTATTTTATTCTTTGATTTAGTTGCCACTGTATCTGTTGTTCTAGAAGCATCTATCGTATGTGAAAATAGTCTTAACTATAGCCGCATCTTTTATGCCAAATAGGTCGGTGACAAACGGATAACGGAGTAGTACGGAACCCTAATAAAAACTATGGAATAAAAGGGGCACTCGAGACAAAAAGATATCATTGCGCACCAGGGTGAAATTGTACCGTAATACATGCTCCCGCTGAATTTAATAGTAAAAAATTCCGAGTGGTCAGCGGACAAAGAAGTTGGTTGGAGTAATTTTCTACTTCATAGAAGTGCTGGATCACGCTAGGAGTCTAGTTATTTTGGATACGGTATTGGTTAGAGTTGCTTGTGCACATTCGAACTTATATAAAGGAGAAATAACTACAGTATCTACAATGTATATTTTATGTAAATAGTTCAACTTTGATGGGATGTCTGTGGACCTCCAATAGCCATTTCAGTTCAGTTTCCTTCAAAATTATATGTGCTAATATTTCGTCTGTCATTAGGGATTTTTCACTTTTTTCTTATATTTAGGTAAGTATTGGTAGTTTATTGTTATTTCTGTTACTATTTTTTGACAGTTCTTAAACTTGGGTACTTAAAGCTGGTCAGCCGTCGTAACTGGAATGTTTCTTGACCTCTCATCTGGAGATAGTGCGTGTTCCTCGACTAAGCAAAGTGGCTAGCCAGAATAACCATGAGGTATTTTTTTTTCAATTGACCTATAAATTGTAATTTACCTTGATTAAAATTAATACCGTATCAAAATCTTCGCGCGTCCCAAACTTTACAACGATGCCTCACCGGTCATTGACTGCAAAGCGCTCGGAAGTACTGGAAACTTCACAAAGCACGATCATAAACAAAAAACGAAAAGAAATCGCTAATTCCCTTGTGCGGAGTAATCCCTTTGATCGGGGTTTGTCTTTAGCCGAGTTAAAAGTTATCGTGGAACTTGTTTAGAAATTACGTCCTCGCTAAGGAGTTAATCCAGTGTGTTACGTACTTAACTGTGATGTATTAATATTTCTGTGTATCCAGTGGCTTCGTGATTTTTCTCTTGAAAATGGACCATCAGCTCTTTAATCGACCACGCTCAATAAATGCGGGGCAGTTTAATTTGCCAGAAAAATACGTTGATACGTTTTGGCGCACGACTGGAGTTCGAACTTACGATTTTACAACAGACAATCGCATAGGCATGTACATAAATAATTTTCAGAAAAACAACGTTTTCAGAAGAAATAAAATGCTTATCAAACATATAGGCACTTTCTGTGCTACGTTTTGTAGACTAATATCTATAATTTTATTTTATAACGACGTTCTTCAAGTGATAATCTCTTTACCGATAAATTACTTCATTACATAATGCGTTACGATGTAGTATTTCTTACCCTACCACCCGCTAGGCTTCTAGTATAGTATATAGCCTATATAGTTGTAGCTTCACTTAGATTATTCTGGTGTATCACGTCGCTCTCAACCATTTTTTTTAATTAGCCCTCAAATTCATATAGCTTAGACATTAAAATAATATAATATTAGAATATATTGATTCCCTGATTATACGTATTTTTACAGTGCTTTAACAGAATGTAATATACAGAATGTAAAAATCTTTTTTTTTAATGATAGCGGAGTACAGGCACTTGGAGTTCACTTGATGAAAGGTAAAATATTCAATCCTATAACATCTATACAAGATGCGCTGTTGATCTACTTTGGCTTTGGATATTCGGAAATCCACAGACTGACACTGAATCGTGATTAAACTTCACGGCCTTTTCATCTGTGGACGCTGGACCCATTTAATATCCAGATTTCCAGACGAACTCCAACAACTTTCAGAAAAATTATAAATTGATTAGAAAAATATTGGACCCGGTGAGGATCGGGTTCGATTACAACAACGAACCCATCGAAATTTATAATGGTGACGGAGGTAGGTGGTGATATGTTAAAATGAAGAGGATTAATCAAATGCCACCAGAAGCTACGAGTATTTCTCTTGTAAACGATTGTGATGTTTGTAAATAATGAAACAGGGAAAAAATAAAGACCATTATTATTTACGAGTTACGAGCGCTGATGCCCACTCCATTGAACACAACCTGCGATTTTCTTCATATACAGAGTGTTCTACATACTACAGTCTTAATGTCTGCTGTATAATTTTCCACTAACACATAATTTTAGACTTTAGTTATAGAGTAATATATCGGTTGGGAGATTACATAGCGAAGAGAACAAACATACACATTTACATTTTTTTTTGTATTAGCATGATAGGTCGAATATAGCCTTCCATAAGCAAGAGAGAGAAATTATTATCTGTATTGTATCAAATCCACAGTATCATCTCACTTGAAGCACTCTGTATAACGGACAAATTGAAAGCAATGAAGTCGAAAGCGTAAGTTCTCAATCATTCAAGTTAACGACAATTGAGGAGAGGGGCTCAGTACATAGATTGTTGAGTACGGGATTGTGGATATGTCATCCCGAAATATTTAATCGTCGGTGAATGAGGTATGTATAACAACTGTAATAATAATGTATTGTAGTTTTATTGAATATATTACAATTGTTTGAAAAATAAAGTGTGTTTTTACGCTTTCTATAATAAGAAAATCAAGACAAAGATTTCTTTTTTTAAATTAATATTAAAAGACCGATTCCCTTTTTTTCAGTTCAATTCTATAAGCAATAAAGCAACATAGTTCATATTATAAACGCATAATCTACAAATTACCAGTATGCACACTGTTATGCTGCGCTTTTTAATATCTTTTATGGCACGTGGAACATTGTGAAAAATAATAAGATTTTTAAATATGTTATCTTATGTCTGGCGGTAGGTTTAGTGATATAATAATGCTTTATCGTAGTTTAAGTAATGTGTACTACCTTGTCAATCAACGAATGTTGATAGTTTTGAATCTTCTACGACACCCGGACCAATCTGAAAACCAGCGCTGCTGAGTGTGACAAGCACTTATGCAGTACAGCTGAGACTGGTATCGATTGCCATTCTTATGTATTTTATTATATACCTGTTATTGCTTTTCAGAAAATATTTAGTAGTTTTAAGTTATAAGTTAGCAAGTATATGTTTAATAAAAAGTATTGAATTTGAATCGAATATGCCACATCCAAACGTCCTGGCCCCATCGCTTCGTAACTCTACGATCTGCGTATTTCACGTAGCAATAACAGCTTAATAGTGTAAAAGCGAGCGAATTGAGGACTAAGCCGACTAATGGCGACTCTTAAGCAATTTACTTGCTTTTATGTTAACATTTCCACTTACACCTGATTGTGTACTGGTACACACGATTAACGTAGGTAAACTCTACTTCTAGTAACTAGCCAGCGATTACTTTAAAAACTTTGAAAGCAATGCATGTTTTACTTGAGTTAGTAACTCGTTGTTTCGGATTTAAAATGCACACGATGGCCTTGGATTGGCATTTATAAATTATCTACATCATTTAATCTCTGTTGCTCATTAGCGAGTAATTATCTTCTTCAGAAGACTTCGTATTGTGTATAATAAACAATCTATGAGTAATAAAAACAATGAAAAAATGTGTTATGATATTTTTTTGTTATAAAGTTAGTAGAAGAACATTTAGTACTAGACATCGACCAATCTATAGAGTTGATCATCTTTCTTAATCTTTTGTCAATAATTAATGAATGTATTTACAGTTCTGTTCACATTTGTAAACCTTTAGCATTGTGTAAAATCTGAAAGGTCTTTGTGACTGTAGCGGTTATTCACGTCAATTCAATATGAATTTGTAAAGGAGCTAGTATTCCCATTATGATTTTCGCGTTAGACACTCTTTTCACATATTTTTTTCTAGCCTTTGTGTAATATGGTTTTGTTATTATTACTAATATTTTACTTGTCCCACAAAAATTAAAATTTATTTGTATGTATGACAGCTAGTAAGAATATTGACAAAAAAGACTGGAAGAGCTACTTTAAATCTGTTTCTAATACGTTTTTATTAATGGGAGAATCAGAATGCAAGCTTTGCCAGTTGAAATTGTATCGACAAACAATCCCAAAATCGCTTTGACGTCGGCAAAGGCCAGAGTTTCCAATTAATTCTATAATTGCATTAAATATCTCCTTTTCCTATCAGCGATGTCTTTAATTACGAATTCGTACAAAAACATGCTTAGTTTATTCAAACCTGTCATTGTTGTGTTGTTTATCTGTGGTTACAACTTCAAGACGTTCACTCCAACCATGGTTAAAAAAATCCTCGCTCAGTTCTACAGCTTAAGTCTTATCATCATCGTTACTTATAGCACTATGAATTGTTGCAACGTCATCAATCCTTCGCAATTCATGTCCCTCATTGAATACGACCTTAGCGTCATAATATCTATGATCTACAACAGTAAGGTACTCCAATTTATTGCGAAGCTCAAATGCCTCGACGGATACTTGAGAATCAACAGACGTCATTATAAGAAGGTCCAAAATAGATCTATCGTCATCACTACTGTTCTCTGGCTCATCAGGCTCTCATTCATGGCATTAGGATGCGTTGCTCATAACTGCTACCATTCGTTTACTCCATTCGTTGTGAATGTCTTATCGTTATTAGCTCTGGATTTGAACAGAGTCTGGAGATTTACTATACTTAATACTATTAGATACAGGATGAAATTATTAAGGTGTAGATTAGAAGAAAACCCCCAATGCAGCTATTACTTGTACGTGGCCGATATGAAGACAATGAAAGAAGATAAAATTAGATTTTGTCTGCTCATGTACAAGCATATAGGTAATCTGTTGGATATTATTCTTCCTGAGTTTTACGCACAGGTATGTATAATATTTAAATATTGTCATTAACTTATATTCCATATAATATAATTATCTCATCGTTTCAGATATTTGTAAGCATAATATGTGGCTTACCAAAATTAATAGTTGATATTTATCATGTTCTTCTTGTGATCGAAAGCCATGTAAGCAATACCGTTAATCTATTTTTTATTTTATAAATATAAACAAATTAGCAATATTGAATTGTAATAAAGCCTATCGGGTCAGGATTATAAAACTATAAGTCGACAACGTACTTACTAAAAAGTGTGAACGTTTTTTAATTTAATATAGAAAAGTATATTTTGTTATTATATATTAAATTCTGTAAACGACCAGAACGTTATTTAAACGTTGAATTCGTAACTTCAATAATTCGATTCAATTAATAATATAAACTCTTTATAATTGTAAATTGAATGTGAAAGTTGATAATTACTACTAATAATAAAATTTCTTAAACCCTTGCTGTTACAGGAACCAGTTGAATCTCTTGGCTTCACAGTTATGCATATAGTACACGTGTCATTTCTTCTAATGTCTCCTTCTGTTTTATTTGAACTTTTTCAAGTAGAAGTGGATAAAATAAGATTATTGTTGATGGATCGTATTATCGAGGATAAGGGTAAGTACGTTTTTTATTCTACCCTCACTATTATGCATGACAAAATAAATGTATAAATCACTTTGAATTAGGTTTTTTTAGCTTTTCATTTGTCTACTACTATATTTAAAGTTTTTTTTTTAAAGCTTAGCCGTTAACACATGTACAATATTGAACATTTCTTTAAATTGTAATTTAAAGATTTTAGTCAGTTTTGTAATAAAAAGGCTTTTACCCGTGGTCTTACTCTTATATTTAGAAAGATAACATCGGACAGTAAGTAAATTAGACTATTAGCTCCATTTCAATTAAGTCTATGATGAAGGAAATAATATTCTAGTTTTCAACTATTTCAGGGTATCAATTTAATATTACTATAATAAATACATTTGGTTTTAGATCCAAAGGTAAGGGAAGACTCTCAAATATTTTTACAATATACGAATGTCAGATCGTTCAATTGCAAAATCTGGCGATGCATCCCGGTCAACATTTCGCTGCCATTGGACATTTTTAATATTTGCTACTCAACAATTATAGTTATTATTAACTTTACACATTTGTACGGATAAATGAAACATAAGATATTAATTCATTTGAAAACTCGGTTATTTTTAACTGCTAGCGTTATTTCACAATACTAGACACTAAATTGATATTAAATTGAGCTCAATTACGGTTTTTCCAGCGTAATGTAGCTACGTTGCTTACAATTCTGGAAAACTAATGTCTCTTTGTAATCCTTCTGTCACTAGCTGCTACTTATAAGACACATCTTATAAATATTATTAGCTACATACATTTTAATTCTTCCTTATAAACATCTCGTTAAAGACGATAGGTCCTGGGTTTGAACCTCGACAAATTTTTATGAATAATTTCGGCTTGATGACCCACAGAAGTTGGTTCAAGTTCAATAGAGTTCAAAAATAAATTAGAGACAAATATATGTCTGGCGCATGACATCTACAATAACCTATAAACCTTTTGCAATATTTGCGTAGAATGTCTTTTCATAATCCCAGTAAGATAATACGACGGAAAACGAGAAAAGCGTGTAGGAAACGGCGAATATTATCCTCGTAAAGTGTTAAGTGATGGCAGAGTTACGAGTTGTTTACCAGTTCCCAAAGCGTCATTATTCCGTCCCATTCAATCGGAACTTTGCCTTATCTGGATTTCGAAAACCCTCTTGCCAAGATTTCGTCGCGAATGCACTATTCATATTGTATTGACTCATTTTTATTCAGAGATTTTATGATAATCGCAGCAAAGATACTGAACAAGTTTTCGTATCGATAGGTTAGAGTTTGAATATTTTTGGATAAAGAAACATACTGTTAAGTAACTGATTAAGAAAATTGGACAGTACATTCGTCTGTTTAACACAGTTAAGTAAAAAATCGATATTATTGTATTTCCTAGTCATATATTGTACGTAACTCAGTTATCTTAATATAAATAATGTTAATAATGTGTGTAATTGTAGTTCTCTCTAGTAGTTAATGATGTAGTTGTTAAAAGGCGACCTTAAACAAATAATAAAAATGTTAATAAGTTCTGAAAATTGTTATGTGCCAGCCCTAAGCTGCACTTTATTAGGCGACAGCCCTAAGCTGTACCACTACGGGGAAATTGCTGATAGTGTATTCGATACCCGTGCGATCAGTATGTGAAGCTACTGTTGCCGTTACCATATTAGTATAAGAAATTAAGAGAATTATTGTAAGCGTCGAACTGATGCATCGTGCAGTGGGAGATACCTAGTATTAATTAAATGTAGTGTTTTAATATTAAATAATAATTAAGCAAATGAGTTTTGGCAAATACCGGCGGCGACTAACATAATTTACTGTTTATTCTATGATTTTTCATAAATAAATGATTATTTCTTATTTGTCAACATAACGATAACATTTTTTTAGTCATATAGATAACAAGTGACTAACAAAATCAAAAATAATAATTTCAGGAAATATACCACGCTTTTCAAGGTAGAAATATACCTTTGTATTTTACCTGCTCCAGTTTCTAGAAGATATCTAAAAGATTTTCTTTTGTTTAAAAAAATACAAGGGGTTTGTAGTCGTTAATCCGATGTTCAACAAATCCATCAACAAATCGTTCGAACATGTCAATTATCGTGTTCAGTGAAGACACTAAAAAATATCAAAGACAATATTTTTACCACAAGGATTTACTTTTACTATTTATTTTTACAGGATTCCCCAAGATTATCATCTTAACGAATTAAGTGTTACTAGGCACGTAGTAGTGTGCATTTAAGACACTTCAAACGATTGGCGCTTGAGTAGAAGTTTGATCTTTGGCATTTGAGATACCTACTCCAGTCTTTTAATTTCAAATATAATTAATCGCTACTTGCATTTGTTTTTAATAACAAAGCAAAACTTAAACGTGGTAATGATTGTGTTGTCTAGTATTCTGTCAAAACAAAGCAAACCTCCTTTGCTATTTATTTGCAAGCAATAATTCACGAAAGCTTTAACAGAACCCATTCAGCCAAAGTGACTCAGACGAAAGTATTGACTACACATAATTAATCAAGCACAGCTTGGAATAACAATAGATTCTGAAGCTGTGATATTCACAAATGGAACTAATCACTTAATGCAGGTGGAAGTTTACGTCTCTGAAATATTTGAAGTTTGAAAGAGGTTGCATATTGAAAATGGAATTACGACTGGAACTCGTTCACTTGAAAACCGTAACTTTATTTAAGTAAAACTCCTTAAACTACGGCACGAGACCACTCCTACTCGTTTACTACGTCACCACTGCTTCTGTAAAATCATCCGAAATGTCGGGCCGAAGAATAGGCCGAAGAATGTTTAATTTTTTCATGTTTTAAGCCGTTATTAGTGTTTTATTTAAATTTGTACTTCTTGCGTTAAAGTATTGACTATAGAATAGTAACCTTTTTAATTAAATACATTTTAACATAGAATACTTCGCACATAAATGCGGTGTTTGGTTAGTAAAATGTAACTTTATGAAATATTCACAAGAAATTAAAAAATCATACTTAACTAGTAGTACATATTTAAATGAAACACTTTAACGGTTAAAAATGCGAAATTTATTCTAAGAAAATTATTTTAACGACAAAATCATTCAATTTAACTAACAACTTCGCTTTAGAGTTAACAGTGTTTTATTTAGTTTAACTTTCCAAACGTAACAAACCAATAGTAGGGGAATCCCAATATAAAATTGGTTCGATAAAATCACAACGGTTTACATACCGTGTTTGATTTTGCTACTCCAGAGCAAAGTACCAATATTTCTAAAAGCATACTAGAGATTGTAACAAGGTACCTACTTAAGAAACAATATTCTTGATTCGTCATATTGAAAAGTGCTTGTTCGTTTCAATATTTTATCAATTTTTTCTTTTCCTTGATGAAATGTGTTTATTCCAAATATGATATATACTTTACCAGAATAGATACTTTTTTAATCAACTGGAAAACAGATACTTTGTAATCTTACAAAGAAGATTCTTAGAATCCTAGAAACTTAGGTTTCTTATTGTCAAGGTTTTTATAAGAAAACACGTGTTTATCTAACGTTAACGTGTGATTGCAAAGTGTCTTGCAATCACACGTTTTATGGTACCACTACTGAAAATCATTATTATCATTATTTGTAGAAAAAATCCACATATAACCTTCTTCTCTTCTTCGTCATACTTCATTCAGAAATCAATAATTTCTCAAAAGCCACGTTGATAGTGCGCCCTATAAAACCTTCACGAGCTGAAGGCATCCCAATATTACTTCAGCATCACAATTAAAGCGAGCTGTAAATCCAGATCCATTAACCCGTAACGGTCGGTGGAACCGTTCCCAATTAAGCAGATTGAACGTAGCCGACGGCGCGATCATTAAACCACGTTTAAACCACGGTTAAATAGTGAATCGGACAGTTTATTGCTTTGCCTTCGAGATGCCGGTTTAGTGTCACACGTTTATTGCATGACATAAACGACGCTCCTCTATTTATGCATGACAGTTATGCATATGAAGATAAGAGAGGTTTATAGTGTTGATTTCATATCAATGCAGACGGTAAATTATTATCGACGGGCTCATTGTCCAATATGACTGAAAACCAATGTGTCATGCCATGTATCTAACAGGTTGTAAATTAAATTAGAAAAAAATACAAGAAACGGGCGTATCTTGAATCAGTACACACATTTTAACACAGTGTTAAGGTTGAAATTACATTGTGCGAGAGGTGCATGTATCAATGTGTTAAAAACTCAACGATGACGTAGGACTTGGAAACTCTAACTGGCTAGAGCAGAGCAGCACGGTATAAGACTATAACACAAACAGTACTTAAACCCACGACCAGATTGCTAGTTTTTTTATTTTAAAATATACATTTTCAATGAATAAACTACAAACACAACTCATTATTATTAGAAATAAATAAATCGTTAGTTCTTATTTTATACTCTTACTTTAAACTTATATTGAGCTTGTTTTTTATTCGGTCTAATCAGACTAGACCTAATCCTAGACCGACTATTTTCATATATATTAGTGAATTATTTACTCAAATATTAGAACAACAACGACGGTTGCTATAGAAACGGTTGCCATAGAAACGGTGATGTGTGGTAATATTTTTATTACAATTAACTTCTTATTTTTGACCACCAAAATGTGTTTAGTCCATTCGCTATTAGTCGGAAGTGAATCACAATAAAAAAGCACTTGGCGTGTATAGAGACCATGTTAGGGATTCCTTTATTCGTGCGGTATACAATTTACTGCCCCTGGTTTACGCTTTGATACGCACATCTTATATATTTGGCCCTTTGTCGTGTACACATATGTAATCTTTTTATATCAACAAGACATTTATGATGAAGGTTTGAAGTTAATTACAAGAACACTTGCCACAAATATAAAGTATATTTATAGCTTCTGTTTTAAATTTTGTCTGTAATGCGAGTGGTGTACATTGAATTAAGCACTTGAAACTGTTTTAAACACGAAATATATTCGTTTAAGATCCTAGTGTAGTAAGATAATAAATAAAATAAAATAAATAAAGGATATAATAACAAACGCAAACACACACACACACACGACAGTAATAATAACATATGGTAAATAATAGTAACTTTTAGTAATATCTTTTTGTTAAAGAAAAATTTGTAAGTCATTGAACAAATTCTTATTTTTTATCAATATTTAATTTTCTCCGATACATATAAATGTATAATTAACATAATTTAAGTAGTCAAGCTATTCAGGAGATCACATTAAGTTGATGTTGTTCTTTGTAACCGAGGAATATTGTTTGGTAAAAAGGTGCCGTTATCTGTACAAGCTGCAGTCGCTGCGACGGTTTCTTTTGTCCATTATTCGTAATCCGATATTATTGGGGCACAAATTGAATTGTCATACATACTATCACGTTTTAATGGTGTCCGCACACGATATCGTACTAACAATGTTTTGGATACGGAGAGAAAAA